GCCATCGGCCACGACAAACGTCAGGGATATCGGTGGCCCAGTCGTTCCCCGTGGCCCTCATAATGTCGTAAACAGCTTCTTGCTCATGGGGATCGGTTTGTGCACGGTTATTATTCATAGAGAAGCCAGTTTGTGGTGCATCAACCAGAGCTGAAGGCGCACCAGAATCGGACATTATAACAGTGAATGACCAGCCTAGTGGAAAGAAGGAAAGAGATAGTAGTAAAGTTGCTTGTATTGAGAGAAAAAAGGCCATGTTGAAGTGAAAGAAACTTGTTATGATGTCTGCATTTCTAGGGGTATTTTATAAGAGATGGGGAATTTATTGCATTCTCAGGTTGGAGAGTGTGACAACTGAATGAAAATTGGTGGATCCATAAATTTAAGTAGGATAATTATGGATTCACGAGTATGAAGAGGAGATGAAATAAAGGCAGAGTTATGTGTCACTGGGCATTTATCACAATCACGGGGCTGAGGCTGCTTCTGCGTCAGCTAATCTAGGCCCACTTACAAGTAGGCTTGGGCTCCATTATGGTAAAAATAGAACGGGTTAGCCAATTTTCGGACTGGTCATTCAAAAATAGCCAGCGTTTGCAAAGTCATTGAAAAATAGCCACTATTTTGCTGCAACACGGAAAGTTCCAGCATAATATACTGGAGATCTTTGCTCCTGTGAATGAACTTTCAGCATATTATGCTGGAACTCCAACACGCGAAAAGTTCCAGTATAATATACTGGAGATTGGAGAACCGGTGCTCCAATTTCTAGTATGTTATGCTGGACCGGGATATTATACTGCAACTCCAGTATAATTATACTGAAACTTCAGTATATTATACTGGAGTATTTGTCCGGATTTTGAACAGTATTTTCGTTCAGATTTATCTTTACATGAAAAGTAGCTAAATTCGATTACTTTTGAAATTGTGGTTATATTTGAATAACCAGTTGTAAATTTAGCTATTTTTGAATTTCTCTCTCCATTGTGCGGTGAGGTTTTGGGCCGAAACTCTCAACTTATCAAGTCCATCAAAAGGAAATGTTCAAGAAAAGAGAAAAGATGGCGTATAATATAGGGAAGATTATGTGACACGTCAAGGATATACACTTTATTTATCATTTGTAGCTATACTTTCAGCAAATTTATTATTCGTAACTATATTTGAATTTTATAGCAAATTCATGAAATAAAATATTAATTATTTTGAATGAAAATAAGAAAGAAACAAGTTTTCATAGCTCAGTTGGTTAGAGCCCCCTTTAGTTAATAAAGGTACTGAGTTTGACTCTCAGTATCCTTTATATACACCCTTGTATTTCACCTTAATTACATTTGATACCTGATGTATTCGTCGCACCGATGAGACTCCTCTCAATTTGTCTTGTCTTCATTTTCTCAAGTTCCTACTTGAATTGGAGACGTGTATCATAGTTTAAAATTAAAGGCTAAAATTCTGTTGACTAAAACAAAGCCTTAATCATGGTTAGAAAAACAAATTCCATCCATATTTTTGCCCCTAGATATTTTTGCAGCCCCACAATTCTAGCTTCACATTATCTCTTTCCTAAATATATTTAGAACTTTTCTTTCTTTCCTGTAGTAATTTATAACATTAATTTGACTTATATAAATCAGTAGTTGTGCAAGAAAATATTATAATAAAATGTTGAAAAGTTTGTTTCCCTTCAAGATTTTTCTCCCATGAGAACGTGAAACAAATTTGGAAAAATTAACAAGTTGTGATGAAATCTCTTCAAATAAAAACAAATTTAGTTGGTGGTAAACTCCAATTATATCACACTTCTCTTCGTTTTTTTCTTAAATATAGTAGTAGTTTTACGAACTTTTTTGGAGCTTAATGAAATAAATTCATTTTGGATGGGAAATTTGTTTTGAGCTTAATAATTATAATCATTGTGTTTGAAATTCCTTTTGGGTTATTATAATCTATGTTTAAAGTAGTGAAGCACATTGCATGAGATTAACAAACTTTTTAGAAAAAAAAAAATCGATAAATCAAAGTCACTGTTCGAAGTAAATATATTTAGGAAAGAGATAATAGGAAGCTAGAATTATGGGATTATAAAAACATTTGAGAGAAAAAATATGGAATGAATTAATTATCTAACCATGGTTAGAGCCTTGCTATAGTCAAATAAATCTTAGCCATTAATTTTAAACTGTAACATGTGTTTCCAATCTAAGTAGGAACTTAGAAAAATGGAGAAAATAAGAAGTCGAGAGGAGTTGGATCCAAAAATTTGTATAGTCTAACTACCTTTATTTTCTTCCTAAATAAGTAATTAGTTTTTATACTGTTGCTGAATATAATTTGCTTAAGATATTCGTTATACTTTTGAGTTTTGACGTGCTTTATTTCTGCTTATCTTCTAGGCATCCTAGTACAATTTTCGAGAACATTTATTGAACATAAGAATGTGTCTAGTTTCAGCTATCTTGTCATGTTATAGTTAATAATCGTTTAAGATGCGTAATCCACTTAGTGAGTTCCTTATGATGTTGTTGCAAATTGAGAGGCGGATTTAGGACAGATAAATCCACAAGTTTGGACTTGAGCTATGTAAATAGGTTTCTATTATAGTATAGCTAGGTAAAAATGTTGCAAATTGATAGGCGAATTGATGATTTAATAATATAAAATTATTGGCAATTGTGGGAAGAAAGAAGATGGAGATTCTGAGCGTAGATTAAGGAATTTTGTTGTAAAAAAAAAGGAGAGAGAAGAGGAGAGGGGAAAAAAAAGAAAGGATATAATTGAATCCCTTAATTGAAGGCATTAATAATGAGGTGGGAGTCTTTTAAGGAGAAATCTACACAATTTATAAGAAAAACCTAGATATTTATTAAAAACTATAAAACATAGAGAACATTAGTAAATAAGTTTCTAATATAATATAACTAGGTAAAAGTCCCCTTATTTTCCTTAGGCGATATACTCATAGTTTCTACGGACCTAAAAGTGGGACTTAGTCTCATATATGTATGGCAATTTGAGCCTAAACTCATCTAATTTGCCCAATCCATCGAAAGATTAATGGGGTGGCTACAAACATTTTAGTTCAGAGATTTTAATACAATAAGTCACTTATTTAAAATTATTTGTTTAAGTGGCATCACTTTTAATTTATTTTTAAAATAGCAAATTCATTTACAATTCTAGCACATTAAACCTTTAGGCACTAAATGACTAACGAATCCACACCCACAAATTATCCACAAATTAAGGGATCAATTTATACTTTCTCTCTCATCACTACTAACAATTTCCATTTTTCTCTCCAATATTCATCTATATCTCTTGTTCTTAATACTCTATCAAAGTCTCTCCACACTCCTTCTGGACACCACCACCCTTTTTCCCATGATTGTAGTTAAATTCACCAAAATCATGACAAAAATCAAAGTGAGAAATGCCAGAAGTTTTCTCGCGAAGCTTTTAGGGGAAAAATAAGGCACTTGTATAAATTATGAATTATACCATACATGTTTATAATTAACATATATTATCGGTATATTTGTGTATCTCTGAATACCATTTGGTGCTGACTTATTTTACCATTTGGTCACTGGTGATGATGTTGATGAGATTGCAAGATTGAAGGCTTACCTGAGCCGCACCTTCGACATAAACTTGGCATGCTAAGGTACTTCTTGGACACAGAGGTTTTCGAGATCTATAAGAAGTAGAGCCATCTCTCAAAAGAAGTATGTCCTTGATTTGAAGAAAACAGGGATGTTAGGTTGCAAGGCCGCAATTAGCCCAATAGAAGAAAATCATAAGCTTGAAGAAAAGAGAAAAGAACCCTTGGATGATGCAGGCATCAGAGGCTTGTGGGAAAACTTAGATATCTTACTATCACTAGACCTGACATTACCTATGCTGTGGGGTTGGTAAGCCAGTATATGCATGCTCCTTGTCAAGCACACCTACATGTAGTATACAGGATCTTGAGGTACCTCAAAGGTTATCTTGGCAAAGGTATGATCTATACTAATCATGGCCATGGGAGAGTTGAAATCTATAGTAATGCTGATTGGGGTGGGTCAGTAGAGGACAGGAGATCAACTTCAGGATGAGAAAAGATCGCTGAGAAAGCATCTTGGCGAANTATATATATATATATATATATATATATATATATATATATATATTTGTTTATTTCAACTCATATACATATGCGATGTATATATAGAGTATAATCAGCACCTCATAGAGTTTTGAATATGAAAGACATAAAGCAACTAGCAATGTAACTTTATATATTATATATATTCCTAGTATAATTCATAATTAAACAGGCATAAATTAGCAATATAACTTTAATATCCTTGTGAAAGGAAAGAAATCCTTGTAGGAATGTAACTCCTTTGGGACCAGTGGCGGACCCAAGTGGTGGGCGGGTTCAACCGAACCCGCTTCATCAAAAAATAATACTGTGTATATGTATAAATTAGGATTAAAGCTGGGTAAATTTTGTATAAATATTTATTTGAACCCACTTGACAACTACTATTTTACGATTAAAGTTATATATTTTTAAGATTGAACCCGCTTGCACAAAATTCTGGGTCCGCCACTGTTTGGGACCTACGACTTTCATGGGTTCTAAAGATATAGTAGGCGAAGATTGCGAAACTCGTCGGCAAGGTAGGATTTCGAAACTCACGGACCGAACTTTTATTTTTATTCACGTGATTTTAGTCCAAATTTATAGGTTTTAATGATTGTAATATGTTAACTGCCATGTTTGTAAATCAACTAATACTGCTAGAGTTTTTAAAAAAATTCTTAAATCTTGGTAAAAACAAAATTAGTTAATTTTTAAGAAAAATTTTCAGAGTCCTAGCAGAAATAAGTAATTAACAAAACTGGCAGCTAATTATCTACATTCCTAACAGAAACATAATCAATTAATTATGGACCTCTCAATTCCTCCCATGTTCCGTTGCTTATTTTTAGTGAAAGTCCTAAAAATGCCAAAAGGTAATTTATGTGATAAGTTACTCCATTTAGCTGATTTATAGGAAACAAGATTATACAACCATTAGACCACATTACTGTTCGTTATCTATTGCCTTTTTTCTTTGGGAAAATTTCATATTAAAGCAACTGAGTTGCCTCCTTTTCAACTTTATAGCCCATATTTCAATTTAAAATTGAGTGGTCCAAAAATAACAGGCTCATATCCGAAAAAGGGCGTTATTTCCATTTTTTGGGAGTCAAGCGGGATTTTGTATCTTTCAGCGGGATTTTCTCTCATTCTTTCCATTCTTCTTTCCCAAATCTACAAAAACGCAATCTTGCGGTCAATGCAACTCCAAAATCCTAGAAATTCTTCTTCATCTCGAATTAACAACAAATCAAACACGAAAAGTGAAATTTTTTTGCTACAAATCAGCGTAATTTTCATTTTGCTGCAAATTTGATTTCAATTTTTTGTTCGATGGAGCTTTTTCCTGTTTACGTTCTTCATAGTGGTGAATGAGAAGAAAACAAGTTTATCAATTTCGTCAGCGATTGTGTAATAATCGAGTCGACATTCAGCTACAACAATTTAGTTGCAGCTATTTCGGAACAAATTAGGATCGATAGTGAGTTAAACACAATAGAGATTAACTTTCTACCAAATGATGGTTTGCCACCGATCCTGATTTACAACGATACAGGTATTAAAGTGTATATCGAATTAAACAACAAAAACTTGAATTTCATTGAATACCCCTTGTTTGTGATAGTGAAAGAGATTTATGATAATCGTTTGGTTGCTACAAGTTCCAGTTGTTTGGTTGCTACAAGTTCCAGTTGTTTGGTTGTTACAAGTTCCAGTTCTATAGATGTATCCACAATTGATAGCACTGAGATTATGCCTGATATCGAATTCATTGAAAACACGAAATTTAGTGAAAACACGGGTATAATAGATAATATGTTGAACGAATTTGTTGAGGAGGATCAAATTTATAAAGATAAAGAGACAGTTATGAATATGATGAAGAACTTGGCTGTACGCGAGAGGTTCCAATTCAAGGTGAAGAGATCAAGCGCAATAAGGTATGACAATAGTTGTATATTCTGTTATATATATGTATAAATATGTATAAAGTAGTATATATTTGTATATAGGTATTAAAATTAGTGTATATCTAGTTATGTTTTTGTATACAAGAGTATTTAGAAGTTGAATGATCTTTAATCCTAGGTATCATCTTATGTGTGTGGATGGCAATTGTGCTTGGAGTTTCAAATCTTCTGTCGTTTTCAAGGCAAATATATTCAAGGTGAGAAGTTACAATAATAATCACACATGCGGCTATGGTGAAAGATACTTAACATAACGTCAAGCTACTTCGGGTGTAATTGCTAGTATAGTCAAGGACAAGTATGTTAATCCAAAAAAAGTTTACACCGCAAATGATATAATAGAGGAAATACAAAAGCAACACGGGATTGAAGTGAGCTACATGAAAGCATGGAGAGATAAAGAGATAGCAATGGCAATGATAAGAGGGAATCCGAGTGATTCATATAAGGAGTTACCGAAGTATTTTTATATGTTGGAGCATACAAATCCAGGAACGGTTACAAAGTTTCATAAATCAGAAGATGGATGCATTCTTTATGCATATGCTTCGTTATATGCATCTATCAAGGATTGGGAGCATTGCAGACCGATAATGGTTTATTGATGGAAGTTTCCTTAAAGCAACATATAAGGGTACCATATTGACTGTTTGTACACAGGATAGAGCTGGTGAGTTGACTGCATATATCTTGTTTTTGCAGTCTGTATAATGTTGTAATTTCATGTATAAAAGTGTTTATGATTTCACAGCTGCTGTTTTTATAGAATTTGCAGTTGGTATAAAGTTGTATAATTATGTATAACTGTGTATAAGATTTGTATAATTGTCTGAATCCTAATATCTATTTTGTATAAACAGGAAAAATCCTTCCACTTGCATATGTAATTGTAGATTCAGAGAATAACAAATCTTGGGAGTGGTTCTTTGTCCAGATAAAGGGTACTTTTGGTGTTAGGGAAGTGATGTGTATAGTTTCAGATAGAAATGAAAGCATCTTCAATGCCACAAAAGCTGTGTACCTAGAAGTACCACATTGTATTTGCATGTTTCACTTGTGGCAGAATGTAAAGCGCACATTCAAGAAACATCATAAACAATTGAATGATATCTTCTTTGCTTTGGTTAGAGCTTACACGATAGAGAAGTTTGAGTACCATATGACAGAGATATACAAAATTGATCCGAGAGTGCAGCCTTACTTGTTCGAAATTGGCTATGAAAGGTGGTCTAAGGCATACTCCAAAGTGAAAAGGTCGATGGTAATGACTTCCAATATTGCAGAGTCAATTAATGTAGCAAACAAGGATGTTAGATAGTTACCAGTAATGCGATTGCTGGAGTACATGAAAAATTTGCTACAATAATGGAACAAAAAAAAAAGAAAAAGTGCAATGGAGACATCTACAGAGCTTGGCAAAAAGTACGGCAAACTCCTTTCGGAAAAATTTGATTGCATCGGAGCAAATGACGGTAAAATGAATCAAATATAATGATGCTTGGCACTGTTGACTTGCATTTTACTACTTGTATAAGGATGTATAACTCTGTATAATAATGTATAATGTTCTTTAACTTCTTCTTTTTTAAAAAAAATTTCGCAAGTGAGGCCTGCTATGGAGCAGTTATATACCGTGTTTGAAGGGGTAAGGCGAAACATAGTGTGCCTTGAAGAGGGAACATGCAGTTGCAGAAAATTTCAAATGGATGAACTTCCATGTCTGCATGCTTGGGCGGTTTTGAAGAACCAGTAGCTGAAACCTGGCCAGTATTGCTCTTTTTACTACAAGAAGGATAACCTCTTTAGAACTTATGAATTTCCAGTGAATCCGATGCCATATGAGAGTTTATGGGTAATCCCAACAGAGGTGCTGGAAGATGTGGTCCTACCACCTAAAGGGAGAAGGAATGCAGGAAGGCCAAGAAGGGAAAGACTCAAACCTACTTCAGAGAAAGAGTCTAAGAGGGCGTTTTCATGATCTGTGTGTGGACAAGGCAGTCACAATAGAAAAACATGTAGGAATCGACCAAAATAAATAGTTGGAAACATAACACTTCTTATCACATTTGTTGTCATGTTAAGTAGTTAAGCTTAGCAAACAATAGAGTTACAAATATTGAGTAGTCAAGTTTCACAAGCAATTGAGTTAGAAATATCAATAAAGAATTACAATTTACACTATATAAGCAATTATGTTAAATATGTTTTATTATACATGTTTTGATTATACAATAATAGTGTCTTGCTGTTTTTAATGGTATTACATGTATACAGATGTATAAATGAGAGTATAAATTTGTATAAATTTATATAACTATGTATATTATTGTATACATATGTATAAACCGTGCAACACTAACAAAACTGCAACCATAATGAAAATACATACTTTGTTAAAGGACAAAAGCAACTGAAATATTCATGAAAATGTAATTCATTCACAGCCACAATGTGCAATGACTACCACAAATTACACAAAAATAAAAACATCTATAATATCCTTTAAGGTTATCTCACAAGTAGTAGAATAGTACTTAGACAAAACTAGGCAACAACTCCTGATACATAGCAAAACTATAGTAAAATGGAAAAACATAACTACTTTCTCGGTCGTCCCCTCTTCCTCTTCCTGAAAAGTCTCCCTGTGATTTCATCACCACTAATTGCACCGGACTGTTATGTTTTCCTTCCATAATCCCACAACAGAGATCCCCACCTGGTGCGAAGTGTCTCAATGTCAAAATTATCTTTTCGAATTTCCTTACCAAGGATGAAATACTCAGCAAAACCAACATCAAAAGCACCACAATCACTGTAATTAAAAAGAAACAAATCAGATTCTCTGTACGTTATTGTAAATAGGTACACTAATAGTAAAACAGTAAAATAATTAAGATTAGCCTTCCATTTGATCTGTTGGAGCACATTATTAACCAGATTAATCTACAAAACATCAGAATGAGATTTATCGGTAAATGCACCATTGTTCCAATCAATGCCCTTCTTCTCGATATAAAAATCAGAACTCTTCAAGAAGTAAGGTATCAGAATTGCATAAGGTAATGCAGCATCCAAAGCAAGCCTATCATTAATAGCTCCACGGTTAGAGTCATAGATGTGGATGCACCTATCTATGAACGTAAACAACCCCAAAACCCAATGGCCCAATTTTGCTCTTTCGCACTTCACATAAATAGGGAATAAGATCTGGTCAACAGTGTGCCACGGTACATTTGCATCACAATAATATCCTCTAATGTACTCTTCTATCTCATGCCCTTCAGGAATCACTGAAGGATCTTGATTCACTTTGAAACCTTTATACAGGGAGTTGATTTTGTTACCAAAGGCAAAGTCGGTTGTAGTAAACCGCATGGCAACATTCGGCCCATATTTTCCCCTCTTCCTCAAATAATAAAAGAGGACATCCAAGTGCTGAAACAAGAAATAAAACAGAACAACCATCACTACTAGATTTTTTAAATATAGAAACTTATACACTATTATACAGAGTTATACATATTTATACAAGGTTATACAATCTTATACTGTGATTATACAAAGCTATGTATACACTATGGGGGGTCTCAAATAATAAAGATATGCAACAAATAAAAAAAGGCATTAGAACAGAAAGTTATTAAATACCGTGTCAATAAAAGGTCGACAACAATACGCAAGTGAGTGGAACCAATCCTTCGTGGTCACATGACACGAGCCAAAAGTAAAAGCTTTCGTAAGCTTATTTACTTCATCGGTATATATATTTTGGCACTTCAAATCACAAAAAACAAAAAGTAATCAAAACTACCTTCATTGACAAGTATAAAATCAGAACATGACAGATTAAAGAAAGTTAAGGTACCTTCGCCTCGTATCCATCCCATTATCAACAAATGCGCAAAACTCTTTAGCTAATGGTGACAATGGATAAAAATTATCAATTTCAATCGTGAAAGGATGCTTGATATCAAAAAGGAGCTTGTGCGCCGATCCTGATGCCCCCCGAATCAAAAACTCGCAAATATGGAGATTTGGCATATTTTTCTGGTATTTTTTGTCGAACTGATTGTTCAGGAGAAATGTAATCATCTTCTACGTCTATGATGGATGGTTTGTGAAGCACAATTTGGGACATCTATAGCGCAGCTAAATCTTCATCGCCAATGTCATCCCAAAATATGTCACCCTTGACATCACCTGCTGCCCCTTAGACAGAGAAAACCAATAATAAAAAACTTTAAAAATGAAGAAAAAAAATCAGACAAAAAAAAGATAAAATGCAGAACGAACACCATGATCAACACCACCAGTAACTCCCTCGTTAGCTAGCGCGTTATCCTGATTCACTTGATCGACAAAGTCAGGAAAAACATCATATTGATAGCCATCAAATTCGTCGAGACCAGATGTATTGTCATCAGACACGCGCTGACGAATCTAATAAAAAATAATAGAAAGAGAAGGCATAATTGTTGAGTGATTTGGTTTATCAGTAAAAAATTACCTTAGAATCAGTAACATCCTCTTTCGTTTGCTTGGTTTCCTTTATATTTAGAAAACTGAACACTTTTTCAAAAGAAGAAACTACATAATTGTTGAGTGTTGTAACTGCATCAGTCAACTACAACAAAGAAAAAACAAAAACAACAAAAGTAAATCAACAACCATGTTTATAACCAAAATATCATGTATATATCAAAAGTACCGATAAACTACAGAAAAGCTAAAGCTCCAGTACCTTTCCAACAACACTCCTCAACTTCTCAACTTCAACATTCAATAGATCAATGCGTACCGAAGGATCATAACTCGGGTTAGTTTGTCGATCCATATTCTGAGGAAAAGGTCGTTTAGACTATTTCTCCATTTTTGAGGATAAGATCGTTTAGACAGTTGCTCCATATTCTGAGGACAAGGTGGAGATGCAGCGATAGAACCATCAGTGTGAAAGGCAGGCACCTCCCCTGATGCAACATCATCGGCATTAACTTCAAAAAGCGTGGCGATGTTCAGAGTTGACATCTCTTCACGAGTAGGGAAAATGTTCCTATAGTTCAACTACAAGAAGAAAAACTGGATTATAATAGTAGAAAAAGGAAATTGTGACATATTCATAAATATACATACTTACAGAAAAACTAAAATCATATATGAAGAAGTATTATGGTACAAAATATTTACCTTGTCGATACTAGACATGATCACCCCGCTAGTCAAATCCGCATATGTTGGAGTTTCAGTGACTTTCCAATTAAGAATGAGTGGCACATTTGTGCCATCGCGAACAACTAGATACTTGTCAACCATAGAGCAACACTCAAAAAATCATATTTGTAATGCAAGTGGCAAACCTCCAAGCCTATACATTGTCAAATAGTCATACTGTCTGTCCTTCATTGTCTTTAAAATATCTTCAAATGACTTTTTCCCCAAGGATACGTCTGATATTGACCACTTTCAAGGATATCAAAATCATCTTTATTGATACCATGATTATTGGAATCTAATAATATGAAATGATGGACAAACACCATTAAGTCCATCTTGAACGCATCTTCGTCCGACTTTCAGTCCTTTTTCTTGAAGCGATCAAGAAGTTGCCCCCTCGTTATAGCCTTTTTTCCATCTCCTGGAAAATGCTCTTTTAGCACCCTATTGACATCTGGGTTGTCATAGAAAGTGACATATTCTTCTACACACTTTAAACCAGTGAAAACAGCAAACTCTCCAATGCCAAAACGCAGCAAACAACCATTAATTTTCACCCACAACTCCCTTTCCCATCCTGGGACGACTTCCCTCAATAGTATACAATGAATAAGTTGATTTTGAATTTTAAATTGAGGGAGGTACAAGAAGTACCTAAAACAACTAGCACGAAACATTTGAAGCTGTGTGTCAGTCAAACATTGCTTCAAACTGCTCACAATATCAGTCTCGGTATGGGAACTAATCCTGTTGTGAAAATAATCAACTGGTTGTATATAAAAGTCTCCAACCTTGCATATGGAAAAATAATAAGAAATAGATTAGGAACAAAAATTATACTAAAATATTGTATAAATATGTATAAATCAGTGTAGCAGTACTTGTATAAAGATGTATAAACAGCTGTATAACTTTGTATGAAATTGTATAAGCACGTATAAAATTAATAGCAACACAGGGAATACCTTCAGCTTAGTTTTTCTCTCATTCAATTTGTAGGGAATAACAAACCTTTGTTCTTTGGATATGCAATCAAAATCACTCTCACCATCGTCCTTGATCTTTCTCTTTTTCGGTTTAACACTGGGCCTATATCATCTTCATTAACCAAATCAACTTTCATCTTTCTTTTGATTTTCAGCTCTGCCACATTTTTTACTCCTTATTCTAACAATGTTAACCGGAGTAGGAGTATTACTCGTTTGCGAACGAGTCATTCAACTGCTCTCTTAGTGCAACTTTTTATAGGAGCAGGAGACTCAAAATCATCATCATCGGGAGCCTGGACATGCGTATTCGCTTCAGAATCTGGGGTTGAGGGCAAGTCCCTCAATGATTTAATTGGAGTAGGAGTATTCTTCGTTTGCGAACGAGTCATTCGACTGCTCTCTTGTTGAAAGTTTTTAGGAGAAGCAGGAGACTCAAAATCATCATCATCTGGGGTCTGGACATGCACATTAGCTTCAGAATCAGGGCGTGATGACAAGTCCCTCAATCTTTTCGCAAAATCGAATTTAACGCCTTTTCCGGCAACCTTCATTTTGCATTTAGAAGCACGTATTTTTGAACGCATTTTCTACAATAAAACAAACAAACAAAACTTTAACAAAAGTGAAGAAAAGTGAAGGAAAACACAAAAATCAAACCAAAAATAAAGGCCATGAACACAAAGCAGAAGCCAATTTTCCCAAATTGTAACAAAACTCAAAAAATAAAAAATTCTACCCTAAAAGTCGAAATAACAAAGCATGCAAACTGAAACATCAAGTTTAGGCCCAGAACGAAGATAGAAGGAACACAAAATCAAACGAAAAACACAACAACATTGTAAAGAAAATAGCCATAATCAAAAAAGCAAAAAAATTAAGAATAAAACAAAATTCAAAACTAAAACTGTGGTAAAAGCATAAAATGAAACGAAAATTACCTAAAAAAATAGTGAAAGCTCGAAAAAGTACTTGAGACCCAACAATGGAGATCGGTTGCCTTCGTCTCTGAGAAAACCGTGAGGAAGAGAGAGAAAAAGAAAGAGAGAAATTGAAATTTAAAAGCGAAGACCATTGTTTTAATATTTGCGGGCTACCGGATGAAAACTAAATTTCAAAACATATACAACCTGGGCTAAACCAGGTAAGTGCTTCAAATGTGGGCTATTTTCGAATGGGTTGTATGGCCCAAATGATATATGATGTAATTTATTCTTTTTCTTTTTGGTTTTTCCCTTTTAATTTATCTTTTTTTTAAATGAAGAAAAACAACAATTTTCAAATATGGGAACATGATGGGAGGTTTTCTTTACATGTTTATTTTTTGTTATTNTAAATATTATTTATATAGTATACTACTTGTATATTACTATTATATTATATACATCGTATATAACCAATATATACAATATAGATATTTGGATATGCATAGTGATATATGATGTATTTTGGGCATATAATAATTTTATGATTTAGTCTGTCGCATATTTATTGTATAAATATTACATTTTACGAAATATATTATTATTTATAACTATTATATATATATAATATGTACTTATATATTACTATTGTAATGCATCATATATAAATAATATATCAATATTATATATCATCAACCCTAAAAAAATCAAATAGGAAAATTGACTGTACAAAGTATCTTCATATACTTGTGGCTTACGTTTGTCCATTTCAATTGCTATTGCAAATATTAATACAAAAAGATGAAAATGGGAAAAAAATGAATGAATTTACCTCTTAGTATATATGAGCCTTTTCATATGCACTAAATCATCTATAAATATGATTAGAATATATTTAGAATACATTTTAGAATGGAATCAGCTTAATATGATATTTAGAATATAACATAAGAGGAAATAGTGTAACTGATTCCATGATTTGTGCCTCATTAATTGTGTGCATAATTTATACGATATGCTAATATTGTAAAACAATCTGTTATTTTTGGAATAAACAACAAATGATATTATTTTCTTAAATATTTTTTAAAAAATGCTCAGCCGTGTAACTTTCTCTTATGTTTTTTGCCTCTATTTGAGTCGAGCCTAAGTTAACCCATCATTTTTAGAGGCGTTTTTGTATATATATTATATATGAAACTATATTACCAAATATATTCATAATTTGCTTATTACCCTTCATGTTAATAGTATCTACCTAATATATACAATGCATTAAATAAGGAATCAATGTAGCTTTATGATTCCTTATTTTGCGCGCTAAAAAAAGGGAATTAAATATTTTCCAGATCTTCCCCAACGCAAATCACGTACATTCCATAATTATCGTCGGCTTCACTCTGATCTTCCACAATGCAGAACAAGATTTTCCATACTCTGTTTTTGCGATACACTCTGTTTCTAGAAATTCTCTCTACATCTCTCTCTATTCTCAATCGCAAATTTCAGTAATACAAAACAAATGAAAAGAGAGCAGCAATTCCACCATTGACAACCATTAAAAAACTTGAAAGCTTTGAATTCAAATTTGGATTTTCAAAAATAATTATTTGTTTGGATTGAGTGTTGTTGAAAATAATCGGGAATATGGTTTGGAGTTTATATCTCAATTTTGAGGGGTTTTGGTGAAGATTAGACTTGGTTTTGACTGAATTTCAGATTGAAACTCGAAGAAGAAGAAGAAGAAGAAGAAGAAGAAGAAGAAGAAGAAGAAGAAGAAGAAGAAGAAGAAGACATATTGCAGAAATTGTAGATAAATTGTAGATTATTTGTATTATGATTGTAGATGCTTTATTTTCTATTTTCACAAATAAAAACTTCTACAAATCTTCTGAAAAACGCAATTATGTCAAAAATCCCAATTATGCTACAATTGAATGAGAATTGGGATATAAAAATTCAATGTACCCAGTTTGTGGATATTTTGTAGATAAATTGTAGATTATTTGTATTCTAATTATAGATGCTTTATTTTCTGTTTTCACAAATCCAAAACCACTAAAACTTCTACAAAATCTTCTGCAAAAAACGCAATTATGTCGAAAATACCAATTAAGCTACAATTGAATGAGAATTGGGATATTAAAATTCAATGTACCCAGTTTGTAGATATTTTGTAGATTATTTGTATTCTGATTGTAGATGCTTTGTTTTCTGTTTTCACAAATCAAAAACGACTAAAACTTGTACAAATCTTCTGCAAAAAACAGTCTACAATTTAGTATAAATGTAGTAATTATGTAGATACCCTTACAAATAATACTGCTTTATACATACTTAAACTGATTTGTTGTATATTTGTAGAATTTTTGTTGAAAATATACTGAAAGATATGTTCTTTCAGTATATATCTAGCATATTCTCTGTTGCTAATTGATTCTGTTTTCATCTTATCTCTAACTGGAATAGTTCTGATGGATGTTTGAATTGGGAAATGTTAAGGTAAGATTTCCAGATAATATTACCGAACATTCCCAAGAAATGTAGTATTTATTCACCAAAAGTTGCTACTGATTTTCCATCACAACTAATAGCATCATCTGGAATATATGGAAGAATCAAAAGCAATATTTTGGATTAGGCTTCAACGAGAAACTTACTGCATCGAAGAATGAATATTAGAGGAATCTGCATCCAAGAATACCTGGATTAAGCACTTCAAATTCTGTTCTCATATAAACAAAGAAGAATTTTCAGATTCCTTTAATTAAGGAGTAAAAACCGTACAATTAATTATACCCTTAATTAATTATTGTATAGAATTGGTAATTTGGTATACTAAGTGTAATTAGGTCAAATCTTAAATATTGAGGGTAATAAAGTTTCCTATGTGGCATAGGAATGTAAAAATTCCCATTTTTTATAGTCCATTCTGACCCATGAAGTAGCCCAAATGCAACCCATGAAGCCCATCCAAAACAAAGGGATCTCAACCCAACTTATCTAGAAAATTACTTAGTTGCTCCATCATTAGTTTCTGTATTTAAGTTTAAAAATAAGAATCAAAGTATTTAAGTTTTAGTGTAAATATGAATAATTTTGTAATTGAGTTGTGGTGAAATTTACTTATTTAGAAATAACATAAAAGATATTTTTCAACTTACAAATTTTAAATATTAATTTGTTATTTAAGAAAATATATTTTGATTCTCAAAATACTAATAGTAGTTATTTACCTTTTATACATAGGTGTATAGAAGGTAAAAGACTTTGTTTATGCAAGATACACATTGTTCTAAAATATGGGTCAAGTTTAGCGGATTGAGTTATGACCCATTGTTTAGCCCATCTTGACTCATTCCCAGCACACTTTGCGCGAGTTGGGCTATGATCCATTGTTTAGCCCAGCCCAAGTACACTTTGGGTTAGGTTGGTCAATGACTTATTTATTGACCTAACCTATCTTGACCCGTTAAAATTCAGTACAACCCACTCATTTGATACCCCTAATCTCATATGACATATACTATGACAGTTTCTAATAAGTTTATACTAATAATGGCATTTGTTCCAAGGGGTTTGGCCGTTTGGGGATGGCTCAACACCCAATAGTACAAGAAGAATCGTGTAGCAAGAGCTTTTTCGGCTATATGCCAAATTGCCAACAGGTAATTATCAAATTTCTCTAAGGTTCTGGACAACATATCAGTACAGAAGCTACTTGTATAACTGGACATTTTAAGCATCCACAGTATAGGGCTGGAGATTCATATTTACTCGAGTGTTTCTCTTTACTAAGTCTAGATGTTTGTTTTATCACACAAGGGAATCAGGGAAAGGTGAAGGGTAAGGAAAATAGTGGAAGTCAAACCCATACTTAGTGTGAAAGACTTCCAACGATAACACTAAGGTATAAGCATTGGTCATATGTAGTGAAAAGTTAATCCTCAGCATCTGAATATGGTGGACAAGATCCATCATCAACATTGGCTAGTGGATTGAAATAAGGAGAGCTTGGGTCAATGCATCCAGGTACTATATCAAGATCGCAACGATCACCCTGCATCAGCATAGTGTCCCTTCTAATCAAATACTGTAGCTTTGAAAATTATTAAAACAGAAATAAAGATCAAAGATGATTTTTTACTTACTCCTTCCACAGACAAGTTTCCAACCATAGCACATCTTGTGATCACAATATTCGTGTCCGGGAAAATTGCCTTGTCACACGCACCCTCCTGACTTAACTCCCCTGCAAGTCCCTGCACAACAAAGAGAATGATCTTCTAATAATGCCAATGAACATGATTCATATAATCCTCTTCTAATAGAAATGACAAAAGCATGATTGAAAATCATGCTAGTTAACTAGTAAAAGATAAGAACTGAATATATGCTACGTACCTCAGTGAAGAACTCGGTTGGTTTATTTCGCCAAGCATTAGGGACCTGAAATTGTAGTCTATAGGGACCATCCCATTCGGTTCCATTCGTGAATGAGAAGATCAAACTAAGGGCTGAAATCAGAAAAAAACAAAATGTTAAAAATGGGTGAAAGATATAGTCATCTCATGCAATTTAAGACAAGTTCTTGTCTAATAAAACTCACCATGCTTTGGGATACATATTTGAATTGTATAAATAGGAGGATCTGCTTTTCCTCTAGTTTTCATGAGCATTGCCCTAGGCTCACCACCACACATGATAGGCTGATTGAAACCTCCTGAAATTATGGCTCAAGAATTCAGCATTTTCAATAGAGGTGCACTCATTTTTATATCACAGGTTCTAATTAAGAGTCTTAATTTAAGAGTGTGTAGCATGATGAAGAAAATTGCATATACATGAAAGAAAAAAAGATGATTTTAGTATTCTTTTAGCTTCAAAATCTGAATAAGGGCAGCCCGGTGCACTAAGCTCCCGCTATACACGAGGTCCAGGAAGGGCTGGACCATAAGGGTCTGTTGTACGCAACCTTACCCTGCATTTCTGCAAGAGGCTGTTTCCATAGCTCGAACCCGTGACCTCCTCGTCACATGGCAGCAACTTTATCAGTTACGCCAAGACTCCCCTTCACGTAATCTGAGTAATTATGTGAAATGGAAATTCCTATTAGGCATCAAATTTCATAAAACAAACAAAAATTTACCATTAAAAGCAATTCCAAACTCTTCATTAGGGACCATATTGTTTGCAGCTGGATTGTAGAAAAGCTTCAGTCTCTCTCCCTGTCAAAAAAAGATTTTGGAACCTAAAATTAAAAGGCGTTCAGGCCCTATATACCAATAAAATCTATCCATATTTTGGAAATGTGAAACATACTGCAGTAGGAGGAAGACCATTCATTGTTTTCCAATAGACTGGGGCTCTTCCAAGGTCAAATTTAGCCCATGTAGGAAGTGTGTATCTGAAACATGAAAGTTTGATCGTTAAACTTCTATGCACTGACATTCTAAAAATATTTTTACACGCGTATGAGATCACCTAAAAGATACTTAACCTAACCATCCATATTAAGTTAGAATTGTTTCCTGAAAAATAGGACAAATAACCTACCACAACATGTAATACATTAATAATATGCAATATATATACATGGTTGGCCTATGGAAGTTATTTCCTATATATATATTTGATGCTTACAAGATTCAATATCTCATAATAATTCAGAAGAAAAGAGAAAGGTGGAGCTTACTCTTTGACTTCCTCTGCAGGGGAAGTTGCAACAGCAGCAGCAACTATACCTCCACTAATCCGTACCAGTTTCCTCGTTGTTGGATAACATCTTCTTAAGTGAGCTCCCATAAAACTTGTAGCTGCGTTTTCAATTTACAGACATGTTAGACATTCTATCCAATTTGGACATATTTCATTCCAATGATTAAAAAAGTAAATTAGTCTTTTAACCAAGGTAGGAGTTTTCTACAACTTTTCTCTAAATCCAATTCTCACACTTTGGTCAACATTGGAATTAATATCAAAGTTAGTGCAGCAATAAGAACTAAGCATTTATCATAACAGGGGCGAAGCCAGGGGCATATCCAGCTCTTTAGTACCGGATTCATCTGAATCCAGTATTTTCGACAAGGAACATAAATTTATGTGTAAAATTTACTAGAATTACAACAAATATTCTTTAACAATATAATGTGTTCAATACTAAAGATTTTAAAGATTGAACCCATAAAATTTAAATTCTGAATTCACTAAAGTGAGACAAGGGGATTCAATTGAATGATGTACTATGCAAATAAGACAAAAACAGTTCTTTTGGATTATATTAACTATTGAATCCTCAAGGAAAGATTCCAGTACAGTAGTCACAGGTTCCAATCCTCTAATATTTTTTAATCTCTATTATGAATTTCCGGCTTTGCTATTGTGATAATCAAATGGAAAAAAATGATAGCAAGAACGTACCATATATATTTGAAACAGAGGGACTTGCATTACTATTAGAAGCAGAACGAGTTGCTGAAAATAAGGAGGTGTTTGTTGATGCTGCAGCCATTTTGGAAGCTGTAGGATGAGAAAATTAGAGACTATTTCAGATAAAAGAAGGATATGCCGTGAAGTATAAATTCATTTGCAACCACACAAAAATACAAAATTTTTTGCACGTTGAAGAAATATCTCTTACCCCTAGAACAGGACAAACCACTTCATTTTCACACTTCGCAATAATCTTCAACTTCCCAAAAAATCTTGATATTTAAAAAAAATATCTCACTCTCTCGTTTCTCAATCCTTCCACGTTGAAAAAGCCAGCCATCTTTATTATCACGTACAAATTCAATAATTTTAAGTTAATAGATCCAAAGTACTGTTAGGACCACCGAAATAATCAGGTTTGTGGAATCTATCAAACCAAAACTTGAACGACGATAAATCAGCTAATAAACAAGAAATATACCAAAAGACATACAAACATTTAACGTGGTTTGGTCAATTGACCTACGTCAACAGCGGAGATGAGCAATCCACTATATAAAAAAGAGTACAAAATATCGAGAGAACAACCTCACAAAGAGGCAAACACAAGTGACACACTAACACTTGTCCCGTAAAGTTTTCCCCCTAAACATGACTCTCAAACCCAATATGGCTACATTGTGGATGCTACTGAATGAGAAAGACATATCTTCAATTTATAGAACTCCAAACCTTTTCCTACATCAAAAAGGACTAGCCAAATATGGAAGAATTATATTTTCCTTCTAGGAAAAGAAAAACCAAAATATGGTGAATATGTTGTCATTTCCTTCGTGAGATAGGAAAACCAATTATGACAAGATAATCAAGACAATGAGCACTACTCCCCTTGGCAAGATAATCTCCAAGGTTGCTCTGATGGTAAGCAACCTCCACTTCCAACCAAGAGGTTGTGAGTTCGAGTCTCCCCAAGAGCAAGGTGAGAAGTTCTGGGAGGGAAGGATGCCAGAGGTCTATTTGGAAACAACCTTTCTACCTCAGGGTAGGGGTAAGGTCTGCGTACACACTACCCTCCCCAGACCCCACTAAGTGGGATTATACTGGGTTGTTGTTGTTGTTGTTGTTGTTGAGTAGTGCTTTCTCTTAAAGCCAAAACCCACTCAAAATAGAAATAAACACCAAATCCAATTCCGAATAGGAATAGAAACCAAAAGAGAATAGGATTAGGCCATTGGCCCTTTGGCTGGACAACATGGGCATGTGCCCAACAAACTCCCCTCCAGCCAAGGGGCCAAATGTGTCTTCAAGTAGAGAAACTATTGACACATTTGACCCCTTGGCCGGAGGGGAGTTTGTTGGGCACATGCCCATATTGTCCAGCCAAAGGGCCAATGGCCTAATCCTATTCTCTTTTGGTTTCCATTCCTATTCGGAATTGGATTCAGTGTTTATTCCTATTTTGAGTGGGTTTTGGCTTTAAGAGAAAGCACTACTCATGATCTATAAATAGGACAACCTTGGAGAATTGTTCCATGCTCATTGATACAAATATTTGAAAGACTTAAGCACATGGTTTTTGAGAGAGCTTTCATCAAGAGAGAAGAGAGAAGAGAAAAGAAAAGTATTTGCTTTGCTGCAAATTTTTATTCCGACCAGCCAAGTTCAAATCAAGTTTTGGGTTCGTTAACTGTTGGATCGGGATAATATTTTGACTGAGTGTTCGTAACATTTTGATCTTTGATTTGAACGGTGAAGATTGGATTTGGGGACCCGTAGCATTTGATTTCGAGCCTCGAACAATAGCTTTGCTTTTGTGGATTTTCCTCTTTCTTCAATTGATTAGTTGTTGCTCTTGTTGCTCCATGTTTGACACTTGTTGTTTAGCCAATTTGGAGAACTTTTGTAACCCTCTTATTGTTATAGTGGAATTTTTTGGATCTTTGTGATCCCGTGGTTTTTACCTTCGATTTGAAGAGTTTTTCACGTTGAAATTTGGTGTTCTTTATCTTCCTTAATTCCGGGTTTGCCTCTTCCTCGACGTAACAAGTACATGCACCAACTACTCTTTCTAACAAAAAGTGCAACTTTAAGTATAAGTTACTCCCTTTTTGTTTCAATTCGTATGACATAGAATTTTTGAAATTTGTAATCTTTGATATGTCATAATATTTATGTGACTTTAAAACTTTTGAAACATTTATATTGCCATAAAATTTTCTCATTAAAGATAAATAATTTCTTTGAAAATAATTAGTTTTAATTATAAAAAAATACTATTCTTTTTGAAATAATCTAATAAGGAAATAGTGCCATACATTCTTATGAAATACATGAAAAATGCCCACACACTCCCACTGTAGGTACTGTTCAGACATAGTTATGAAAATTGTTCAATCCTTTATAAATATATTAAGGTGACCTTGTATTTTGTAGGCAAGTAACATTCTACATTGTCAAAAGATGCCAATAAGGTCATTGTGCTAATTGCTTTTCGATCCCAGAATTTCAGTATATCTCGCAAAATACAATTTTGCTATATGATATTTGCGGGAATTTGGAGAAGCAGCTATTCTATGGAGTAATAAGTTTATTTGGAGCACGAACATCATCCATAAATTCAATATTTTCTACAGTTCAAAAATGAAGATGAATGAAAAACCAGGGGGATAAAAGGAGAATAATGTATAAGGCGTGGTTTGGTTGATGGGATATGAGATAATAATTTTAGGATTATATGCGAGATTATTTTATTCCGCGGTTGATTGAATTTTTGAATTTTGATCCATAATTGTGGTATTATTCTATCCTACATTGAGGACGGGATAATAATCTCGGGATTACTAATCCCAAGATAAAATACTAAAATGACAAAGGTGCCCTTCTCCAAGGCTATTCCCATGAAATCCTTAAAAAGTTTTAGATTATGATTTAAAATAAAAATTTATCCCAACTTATCTAGTATACACCAAACAAATGTTTATATTATGCCACGTGTATCTCATTTCAAGTCCAAACAACTAAACATCTACCAATAGAAATACATCCCCTTAATCATTCCAACATTATTTAATATCCTTATTATAATTCTATTATTATAATTCGGGGATGACTTGTTCCCAACCAAATGACCCATAAGCGTCTAGGAAATTTTCATAACTAGAAGGCGTATAAGAATATATAACATTCAATACTGCCATTTGCAAATTTACACTATATACAATAAAAAAAATTCTCCTATCTTGATCAAGTTGGCAAAAGTCAATCAAAATGACAGAATAATCTCTTATTTTAAGCCTAAAAGAATAAAAAACTTATCACAACACAATCACTCATTTAGTTTCCTAATAGTCTCTCATCATCTTTTCTTGTATTTCTTTTATTCCCTCAATAAATATTGTTTTTTTTTCACTCAGAAATTAACTTCTTCAAAAGAAATATTGTAAAAACAAAGCAAAAATAATAAAGACCATCGATAGCAATCTTTCGCCAAAATCAGTTTTAAAAATCATAAATCTTTTAAATAACGATATATTAACGGTATATATTAGTTTATATAAGCATACAAATAGATTATATCACATTATAATACTTAAATATGCATAGTATGTTTATATATATAGTTGATATACCATTTACATTTGCAGTAACATATACATATTTGTGTATGTTTACTTTACCAAATATATATTTATATACCACACATATAATATTAAGTATACTATTTGTATATATCATATATTATATGTATATACTTATATACTATACGTATATATTCACCTTCGGTTAATGCCAAACTCCTCAAGTAACATTTTCTTCGTTGTTTTGTCGAAGACAGTAACATAAAGTTTGTCAAGATCTTGAAAAAAGTGCACAAATATTATCTAAAAAAGAATAATTTAGAAGTTCTAAAATTTTATAAACAAGTGCAGATTTTCAAGTTGAATTTATGATATTATCAATAAGCAATGTTCAAATAATCTAGCAAAGAATCATGGGATAGTTGTAGCACCCCGAAAAATTTCGAAGTGCTTGAGCGCTAATTAAAAAAGTTAATGTGTGCTAATTACATTATTTTGTGAGCAGACGAGGACGATTAATATGATGGATATCAATTGGACAGAATAATAAGTGTACGAGTTATATTATAAGTGATGTGGGGTCTAAGGAGAGCCCAAAGTTCAAGTTAAGTTGGAAACTATACGACGGACTAAAGTATCAAATGAGTACGCACAAGGTCTAATTGTAGATAAACATAACTCTCAATATATATAGAGTTGTATGATGAACTACCTATTAAATTAGAATTCTTGTCTAGTTTCCAACGGTTCTAACCGTTCGCTATTAAGAGATTTGTAGAAGGAGTTATGGACGTTTTAGTAAAGGTATCTAGCAGAGAAAAATAAACTTGGGATGCAGGGTACAACTTGCAAAACGCAAGGTACAACTCTTTGAATGTAATACCCTAATATTTTAAATTAGGACATACTGAATATTTAGTGAATAATTTAAGTCCAAAGGAAAAAAAAGAACTACCTAATAAAACAAAACAAATCAAAACAAAAAAGAAAAAATAATAAGGAATTGAAACAAAAAAGGCCGAAGCCCATTCTCTGGCCAAAAAGCAAAAAGAAAGAATGGGGATAAAGACAGGGAGGAAAGCCTCACGACCGGAAAACAAGAAAAGACAACGTGAGTTTTCCCTTCTCCTTCCACTGAAGAGCACGACAAAAATCCAACACAGAGAAAACTAATTAAATAGAGAACAAGGTAAATTTTTAAACTTAATTCATAGGTTTGATTCATAAATTTCATGGTTATAGAACTAGCATACCGTTACTGATTTCCCTCGAGTAGGGACTACCGTTATATTTGACTTCTTGCGAAGAAGTCCACAATTATACCGATTACATGATTCGTTCATTGAAACCTCCCAAACATAAATATTGATATTGCACAGTGTTTACCGAGTTTATTACCGAATTGCCAATTGAATTATATTATATGAAAAACATGATAAGATTGATTATTGTTTAGTATTTCTAAAGCACATTCTTATAATATTTTCTGTT